ACAACTAATGTTCGCAGAGTGCTGCTCACTAATTTAGTTTTAAAGAGTTATATTAAAAAAATTGATAAAAAATTTTTCATAAGAACTAGGAAAGCCTTTAAACTGTTTTACTGATCATAATACCATAGTAAGTGATGAATAAATGGTAAAACGATTTTGAGCTTTTCGTTTAAGCTCTGAAATTCCTTTTTTTTTCTTTCGTAATATTGCTATAACTGCCAACACAGCAGATTCCATGCCGACACCACGAATGACATTTTAACACGCATTTAACCTTGCGGTAGAGCTATACCTTAGCTTAGCGTGCGATTAAAAAAAATGACACTTACATTTGTGACGGCCCTGGAAATGGCTACATAAACTGTAATGTATACTGCAGTTGCGTTTACAAGTAAACTAAAACGAACTGAATATCGGTCCTGCCAAAACGATAAAATTTAAAAGCCGACCTGCGAGAGTATTTTGAATAAATTCAACGCGTGTAGGCGCATTCCACACGCCCTATTTAGGAAACAATTGGCTGACTAAATATACATAGGCGTTAACGGTCTTAAAATTGTATCGCCTATCATCTGGCAAACAGCCTTTACGAAACATCTTGAGAATCTATGCATACGTTGCAGTTAGCCTACATAATGCAGTGATAGTCCTCTGAGTTAGTCTTTGTACATTGACCGCAGGACAGGTTTTGGAATCTGCTTCCGAGAGTGAAAGTCACATGTACATGATGGTATGATTATTCTTCCAACTCAGGAACTTCGATATTGACGAGATCCCGTAGGTCCAGCGTACGTGCAATAACAAGACCGTATTAAAATCCGGTAAGTAATCTGTAGCCTTGAGAAGTCGAACTCATCAAATTACGTACTAATGTCTTCGAGTAGATTTTATGCTTTGGGTAGGCTTATTTGCTTCGATCTAACATCACAATTTCCGCTTTTCCAGAGTCACACGATTTGATACGGTGCATTAAAACTTGATTTAAAGAGTTTTCCGTTGGTGTCTTAAAACAAGTTGGCAGATGCCATCAGCGCTTAACAGACCCCAGTCATAACATGTGAAAAGAATACCTTCATCTGCAAATAAGGAATGTGAGTTTCGGCGAACTGCCAGAAAATCAATGCGGCTAAATCTATCACGACCGGCGGACAACCGGAAAAACTAGTTTAAGCACAGCTCAAAAAGGTCATGTTGTTAAAGGAAAAAATTGGCATCTAGCAAGAATTTTCATAATAGGTGATTTTTGACTTATGTGAACGTGAAAATAAATGGAAAAATATATTAGCACAAGCCACTCAGTAAAAATTATAATAAGCCAGTTGATCATTTCTTATTCCTTTCGGCGGTCTTATCGGTGTAATTTGGCACGCTCGACACCTCTTTTACTTAGAGGTGACTTTAAGTGTAAACATGCAGTACTTTTCATCTTCTGCACTGAATTTGTAATTACATAACTTAGGCGGCTAGCACGTAGCTCTTTTAGGGGCGGTACCTTGGGTACGCCCTTTCTTCTCCGGATTTTGTTTTTATTCCGCTGTTATGCAACAGCCTTCGAGGACTATTTTCTCTTAAGATATTTTTTCAAGTATGATTTTAATTCTGTTAGTAAGTTTATTATAATTTTTACATTGTCAATCTTGTTTTTGTTTTACCCGAAATTGACCGTGAGACCAAGAGATTTAAGTAAGAAAGACATTTCGTAAAGCGTAAACATCGCGAAGGTATCTACTTAGTATGCGAACTCCGCTCTGCGTAGCTTAGCGTGATTCGCTAGTTAAGTGTAAAAGCATGACGAAGGTTAGAGATTGACAGCTCCGTAAGTGTCACCTTTATAAGCGGTGACCCACACTTTCCCAGAGAGATCAGAGCTAGTCCCCGTTGTAATAACTTACGTATGAAAAGAAAGAGTAAAAGAAATAGTCAACTGAACTACGAGTGTTAGGAAATTATTTCTAGCAATTTTCATATTATCTCAGGAACCAGATTGAACCGGCTGCTACAACTTTTATATTCTTAGCAGGGGTATCCAGCTGTAATTTCAGTGGTTTATTTTTGTGTAAAAGACATTTCTGTATGGAAAATTGAACTCAGTTACTGTGTTGAGCAAAATATGTTTCTTCCCGAGTTTTCACTCAAGCTTGAGTATTCATTCGGGAAAATTTCTAGCCCGGATATTGAGACATTTACCTTCTTATACTGAGCAGAATGAAACAACGAAAAGAATGATACGGCGAAACCTCGGAAACCGAAACTGAAAATCTTGGGAGATTATGGATTGTATCAAACATATCTATTAGTCAAAAGTACAAATATTCAAAGCACGCACTCACATATCATAAAAGTGAAGTATCATTTATCGGTTTCATTGCGTTTTTATGGACCGAGACGAATTCGAATGCTCAATGAATGAATAGATAAATAAATATATGAAAAAAGAAAGCTCAACAGTTTCCACTTATGGTCATATGGTGCATGAATTGATTACCGTGGTGGAGGGACGCCATAGAGGGTTAAAAATGCAATATCCCAGGTTCAAAATTGAATACACCTCGATAGTCATTCTTAAAAATTAAGTCAAATGCTTCATTAAAATCATTTGACACTGAATAAAATTGATGTGCAAAATTCGTAGACGTCATCTGCTGAAACAGAGGGTTTCCTGTTCCCTGCGGAGTTTTCAAGTTTTCACGATCTTTATAGGCCACAGACCTATCCTATAGTGTTAGTAATGCTATAGCCATAACAGCTAAAACAATAAATCTCACAAATGCAAGCGTTAGCGTATTACATTGATCTCAAAGAAAACTGCCGGAATGTTTCACAGGCTCGTGAAATGGTTTCAGTCGGATCTGCACCTATTACTGTTTTCATTATCATCAAAACTTCCTTGCTATTTGAACTCAAGAATTTTTTCACAGTCAGTTCAACTAATCAATACAACGTCGCTGGGCAAATCTTTGTCGGGTCTTGCTGTTTTATCTAATGTCTGATCGTTAAGGAGATCAGTGCGTTAAGCAAACCTTGTTTCTTTTTAATTCTTTAAATCAATTAGTATACCATTAAAAAAACGGTTCACACGATTAGTTTTACTCACATGCATCTCAGAGAAAACAGGGCATACATTTTTGCGTGAGTTTTTGGGGACCGGAACATCATTTACAGTCTTCAACATAAACAAGCATTTTAATGTTCACCATATCTCACTCGTGTGACTGTTTTCGGCCTTATATGAAGCATAAACGTAATGCACTGGCGGAGTTGAGACGATTGCATTGGAGGCTTGTTACATTTAGGACCAAGTGGTATTACATTTAGGACTGTATTACATTTAGGACAGTTGTTACATTTAAGCCTTCAACAGACACATAGACCAAGTGGTATTACATTTAGGACTTTATTACATTTAGGACAGTTGTTACATTTAAGCCTTCAACAGACACATAGAGCATTACTGCCAGTAATGCTGTATGTGTCTGTGTGTTCAAAACTTCTTCAGGCTAATACATGTTTTGGTTCTGTTATCAAATCGATATCGATATGGAAGTCTGAAGTCCGGCTAACAACATGTTTCATCCTTGTTGTTTAAATCAGTTATTCTTGCTTTTGAGCGAAAAGAGATCGTTCATTTGTTCAATGTCTTACCAGAAACAAATGACTGTTTACAACCTATCAAAAAATTTAACTCATACACATGGCCATGTAATTATCTCTTTCACCATCAACAATTTTTCAATAGACCTGGAAGATAACTCCAATTTTGTATGTATATGGCTCAGGCACATTTTATATATAACAAATGACAGCTAATACAAATTACTTAATGAATTAATATATTTACCGTCTCTCTAAAGAGGCGATAAATGTACCGTGAAAATAAACCAAGCAAAACTTACAGAGCACCCGCCACGCGAAATCCTAAGCGGAAAAAGGAGGCCCGTATGTGTGTATATACTTCTCCTCACGACGGTCAAGTTAAACATTTATAGCATGAAGCTTAGCTTCTCTAGTAAGCCAAAATTTCTCAGTCCTTGAATATGCAAAGTTAATTTTAACAGCCAAATCTCTCGTCAACATAGATTCTATTTTTAGAGAGCGTCTCCTGGAGAGAGTGTATTTGTAAAATTAATTGTCTCAGATAAAGAGAGCGCCTTCGCTTTTTCTTCCGTTTTCCCTAAAGTCATACTTAAGAGAATTTTATCTCACCACATCAGTTTCATCTTTGGTGTTAAATCTACAAAATTGTACCTACTTTCATGTCCAATCTGTTACCGATTTACTGTTACAATTCCAGTCGACTTGTAATGATTCGAACCCTCCCAAACTTGACATCGCGTCAACTCGAACCAAAATTGATCATCATTTCCCCTTGATGTCCGTCATAGACTTATTGCAAACTCGAATCTCAGTGAAAACGTCCGCCAAAACGTGACAAATCAAAACAAACAGTGTTCTGGTGTCCAAATTGAAGCAGCCATTTAATCTTTGCTTTGATAAAAATGTATTCTGTAGGAATGCGAGCCTCGAATTCAGTTGCTCGACCCAGTTTCCAGATTTACGAGGCAAGGGATCACTAAAAGATGTCACCATAAAGATGTACGGATTCTATTTGTTTACAAACTTCGTTCTCGTGGAATGCCTTCTACTTGTTTACCACCAAACAGACCTACGAGAGGTAACATAAAAGACTGCTGGGACTATCGATCTGTCCAATCTTTCGAGACTTCTGAGATTGTTCGGAGGTTTATCGAAAGTTCACGGAGAGATGAAGACTTAAAAAACAAATTAAAACCGTTCCGGAATTAGATTGGCTTTTCTTAAAGTGTGCCTTCTGTTGGACTTTTTTTCTTGGTAAAAGAGATAACAAAACATAAGCGAAAAAGGAATTCTGCAAAATATTTTATGAACGCTGATTTCATCGAAGAAGTAGGTCTTCCGCTCTAATACCCGAAAACATCCGCGGGGCTTCCCCGTTTTAATGTGAATGTCTAATTAATCGTGAAGTCAACAGGAAGCGAGGCCAAAACCTTACAAGAGAAACCGTGTTTTTCAATTCTCTGTCAAATCATTCGTAGCCCGTTCACCTCTGGTGGTACCTACATCAACCAGATGAAGAAACGCAATTTATAAAGGCTGGCGAGGTGAGCTGAGGAGATCTCATTAACATCATTGACGATCTGCTTGTTTACTTTAACAGAACAGTCCTAGACTCGCACTATGTTCGATGAATGTTTCCTTTGCAGAAACTTCCAATCACATGATCGTAGTAAACAAGAGTTAAACAAAATGGTTTACCACCAAAATAGAACATGCGTATATTGCTACCTCTCGATCGAACAGTGCAAAGTCGCTCCGAGTAGTTATATTTATATATAGAATATAAAAATATTGTTTCGTTCGTGTCGCTAAACTTCGCTTTCTACGTTGGTGACGTTAGGACGAGATATAGAAGAGTAGCAAAATTTCTATTAGAAATTACTCATGATAATTTGAAAAACATTCAATTTCGTGTTTCATTCCTGGAAAACTCCCGAATTTTAAGTAAAGCACAACAGACAAAGAAATCAGCCACTGTCAAGGCATCAGTTTAAATAGATTTGAATAACATATCACAACAAGAGCGAATTGTGGTTTCTTAACCGAACGTATTCGGCGGATTTTCTGGGAAAACTGGTCGTGTCTTTTCGCAATCCAAGAAGCCTATACAAAGAGTTTTCGAAATCTATTTATGAGTTAGACACAATCATAGGTTTTTAAAATGTTTTCGAAATTGGGGTCATCAAAATGGTTTACTCGCGTTGTAAAGGTAAAATTCGACGGTCTCACCTCGTTTAGATGGGTAGAAAGCTTCTGAAAAGCTACGGTGAGATCCTAGAAAGACAGCTGCTTTCCAAAAGTACAGATAAGCGCAGGCTATTTTATTTTACCGATTTTCTTGCCAAGGAACCATTGGCTCAATTTAGTTACGACCCATAGCACTTGCGGAGGTCTTTACATTGCTAACTTACGTGAAACGAGAAAAGTTTGCATTTTTCAAGTAGAATAATACAACTGCAATCGAAACTAAAATCTCTGAATGGCCAGAGTTTTTTTTTGTGATATATTCGCTTATGGGGTTAGTGTTTTCGTTTAATGCATTTTAGGATCTTATTTTTACAAGTTTGTTTTTCCTGCTTAAGGTTGTTTATACTTCAGCTGGCTACTTTTCCATAGAGGTAATTATATCGCCCTGAGGTCAAAGTAGATTCGTTTTGTTTCTGAGAAAACGAAACAATAATATCCTGTGTGTAACAAAATTCCGAATGCAACTTTTTTCGGTCAGCCAAAACGAGTGTTCACTGTTCTCGTTTAACATCTAATCGTAAACAATCGTAGTGACTCGTAGAGTCACTTCCAATTTTTTTTAATTCGAATGGTGGTAGTCAATGCAACGATGCTGAACAAAAACTGAGTGAAGCAGTTTTTAAATTCAAATTTATGTACTGAAGGTGAAAATTGATTGAAAGACCTCGAGTAAATTGCTTATGGTCTTACTTTGTCAGATTGCTGCGAAAGCTTCCGAAAAGCCACAGACTTTATTTGTTACTTTCGTACTTACATTATTATTCACTTTACTTCCATCTCTACAGTGGCGTTGAAGCTGTAAGAACGACATTACAGAACGAACATTTTGCGCCAATTTACCCTTGGTTGGGATATGAGCTGTAGACTTGTTAACAAACTGTGTATGTGCGATCTTTCTTAATTAGTGAATTGTAACTGCACTGGGTCGGAAGCTGCTGATGCGTTCTTGGAAACGGATGAACGAGTTCATAAACTTTTAAAACTTGTAACAGACGCTTAGTATAGTGTTAATTAATTTTTGACTTGTAATTCTGCGTATGTTTCCGCGATTGCTTTCTTAAAACATGTTACGAGAAAGTTCGCTAAAGTGTTTCACAAGCGAGTGTCATCTTCAGTTTTATGTCCGCTTGTGGACCATGTGAAGTGGTGATTAAATTTCATACTCTGCTAAAAGATCAGCAAGCTCACGTAATCATATGTTATATTGCGTAGATTGAATCATAAAATGATTGACTAGCGTACTAATTGTTCACGATCCACTGCCCATTGATAGCCCTTTGACTTGACTAAATATAAAGACAATTGGTAAATCATATTATGGCGTCCGATCCAAATAAGAATCAGCGAGCTAGTGTTCTTAAACTGTATAGTATTATACAAGGGGTTCTCTTTCAGTCTCAAACAAGAGAATCTTAGAGCTTTTCGCTCGGTTTCTCGTGTTTGCAGGTTCTATCCTGTCAACTGATCCAAATGTAAACAAACTCAGGAGTGTTGGACGACATGGGGTGAAGGAACGGTATGTACATAAGGATAATATTGTTGCCCAGACAACTATATCCATTTCACTTCCATAACCAACGGGCTCGCTACCAACGTCACGTAACAACTGAGTAGTGGGATTCTAATCGTGGACGGGCTCGGACGAAAAAACTTACCCTTGTCTTTGTTCGCCAAATACGAGTTTAGTCAACTCTACCCTTTCAGTAAACACGTATTGTTTTCCTAGCGGCTTGAACAGAAAAGTATTTCTCCTTCAGGCCTTTGCTTTCTTTTGCTTAACGGGGGGGGGGGGGGGGGGACTAAAAAAGTCACGCGAAATGTAATGTTAGACATGTAAGTCACGTGGATTTGTGGACCTGTCGTTTAAGGACCTGTCAATGTTTATCACGGGAAAGGGGGGGGGGGGGTTGTTTGGTTGATTTACATTCAACTTTTTTTAAGTCCTCCTTTATACACTGTTTTTAACGACTAATTCCCCAACGACTAGTCCCTTAATACATATAAAAGAAAAAACCATAGAGGACTCTTTCAAGAATCGGTTTACTTCATGTTTTCATTTTTGTCCAACTGTTTTAAATGAGAATGAATATTATATTATGGTGGAGCAAAGTAATCTGTAAATAATCTTTACAACCATCGATATCATTATCACTGTCATTTCAGGTAAAGGAACTTAGTCTAGATGAACCAGCTGTTTTCACTATCCTAGGGCATGGAAAATGGATCCTCCAGATAGAACTGAATCCCTTAGATTAACGGTTTACTATCTGGAACAAGGGAACTTAGTTCAAGTGAAAGAATCATTACAAAAATCTTACCAGTATCTCCAAGACTTGTTACCAAGTGAGTTATCCAAACCCACTTTACAGGAGATAGAGATAGTTAACAAAGCAGAGAAAATATCGATAGAGAATGTGGCGTGGAGTCTTCGAACTGGAGCAATTTTATTGCCACAAACTTCTCCCAAGAACAACTTCTTTGTCCGCTTTGCCAATGTAGTTGGTGCTGCTGCTTTAATCACGGTTTGTGTTGATATAGCTGAGAAAGTATTTGAGCAGTTAAAAGTGTACATTGAGAATGTTGTAGACGAAGAATCAGTTATCAGTAGCCTTGGAGTTACCCTTAACAACTTAGGTTGTGTATATATTACCAGAGGAAGTTTTCAGAACGCAAAAGTTAGTCTTCAAAGAGCTCTTGCGATATTTGAGGTAGTCAAAACAGGAAAAGAGTGTGTCACTGTCGAGGAGAAAATATCAACAATAGCAAACAACTTACGGCTAGTGCACCAGGCTCAAAGAAGTTATGTAGCTGACATGCAATTACAAAACGATCTCCTTTCTAATGTAAGCCGCTTTGCCATGCAACCAAGAATCACTGCAGTTGCTGATTACAATGAAGCCCTTACCTCTTTGGATAACAGGAATCTTAGAAAAGCTTAGGACGAATTTGAGAATTTAAAAGCATTTTGTGAAACAAAATTGCATCAAAACAAGGGACTGTTAACCTGCATTTTGTTAAAAATCCGTTTAGTTTGTTCGATGCTTCAAGCCTCCAGTGGGACCACGAAATTTATTGATACTAAGATTTCAACCTTGCAAGGCATGAAGAAACTTGTTGATATTAGTACAAACTTTTCGTTGGACTTCTCAGTCACAATTATGGAGACTGTGGCCGACATTCACCTTTATCAAGGTAATCTTGACCTTGTCTGTAGCTATTTCTCCTATCTTCTACCGGTTGTTCGTGAAAGATGTGGTGCAGATCACCCAACAGTTGCTTCTATTCTGTCAAAACAAGGACTTGTTTTCCTCCACTTGGAAAACTTCTCACGCTCTAGGCAATGTTTTACCGATGCATTAGAGATTTTCACCGGAGCTTTTGGTGCTATTCACCCCGATGTTCTTAAATGCAATGCAGGTCTTGCGAGGCTAGAATGGCTCGATGGATGTGAAGAAAAATCTTTAGCGCACAGTCAGAAAGTTCTGGAAAATGTGGAAAGAATTTGCCAAGTCTCATTTGAGTGCCAATTAAAGCCAAAATTCATTGAATTGTCTTCACAAAGCGGAAGAACACCATCTCCCGATGTTGATCATGAGGAACAATTAAAACTTGAAACTCTGGTTTCTGAGTTTGGTATGGAAATAACCAGGGTTCTCAACCAGCATCAACCGACTGATCTCCGGGATTATCTAGGAACACCCTCAGAAAGTGATGATTTTGTGGATTCCCCCGTCTCCAAGAACTTATCTGCAAAGCTGAGCTTTAACTGGTTCAAAGCTGGTCTTTGTTTGTTCAACGTTGGAGTGGATCAAAGTGTCGCTTTTCTCTTTCTCTCGTGTACATATGCAAGTATGTTTTATGATTATTTGGATTGCTCTGAAGTCATTTTACTGAAAGTGATTTTTGTTGTGTGTCATCTCAAATCTAAGACGTGTCAAACCTTCCCGGAAGTTCAAGAAAGATTAAAAGATGAATTCGGACGGTTGAAGAACTTCATTGAGGACAAAGTGAAGAGATTTGTTAAACCGGAAAGCAAAACTATATTTTTTGACGAAAATACAAACTTGATGATTGCTCTGGCAGTAATCCTTCAGGCGTTTGTAGAAATGGAAATGTATGCTATGATAGCTGATGTGCATAGTTTATTTTCTTTCCTGTCAAACCAACAGTCTCCGCAGGTAACTCATGTAGTTCTCGTTGAAGAGCTTCGATTTGCGTTTTTTAGTTCAAACATGCAATGTCTTGGCAAACAAGTTATGCACGAACTGATTTTTTCGACGCCTCTTGGGGTGATGAACCATCGAAAAGTCACTGAAGAAAACGATGCAGATACTCCCTATAACTTTCATAGCAAGGAGCTTACAAAATCTTTACATAAAGATGACAACTTTGGACAAAGGAAATCGAGGCAAATTTTCAAAACTTTGGCACTCAAAACTGACAATACTCAGTGGAAAGGATCTTGCAGATTTCTTGTGGAGTGTCCAATATCTCGTGGAGTTGATATTTCAGCGCTAAATGAAATAAATGTGTGGAGTATAAATGCAGTAGAAGACAGTCTACCTCACTTGATCCTATGCAGCCATCAGAGCATAGAATTGAAAACACAATATTTCATAGAACTGGAACTCCTAGCCTCTGCAGAAAGCACTCTTTCTTCGATTTCTGATGATTTTTCTCTTTTGCCATTCGTGTTATCGGCAGCTAAATATGGTTCAGAATCTGAAGCACAATCTCCGGTTCTCGTCAAGACAGAGAACACTTGTGAAGGAAGCCTAGCGTTTATCTTCCAAGACAAAGTAATTGCGAATTTTCTATTTGGAAATCTTCTAAAGCAAATTTTAACCAATGAAGACGAACTTGGTGAAGTTGTGAACGTGATAGTCAAAGACAGCCAGCTCGTGTTGAAAATCCAAGGTCCATCCATAGGGCATATAGTGATTCAGTGCCATGAAGACACCATCAAAGTGAAAACCCACTTGATTCACTATTCTCAAAGCCGTAGAAAAGTAGAGATAGTCCGAGAAGAAGTTCCAGCGTGCAATTGTTCTCTTATTGAGATGGTCATCGCTGACAAAATGGAAAAATGTGCTCGTAGTTTTGGCATTCATTTCGAGACAAAAATTGATAATGCCTGGTGTATTGCGTCACATCTGAGAGGAAACGCAAAGAATATTTCAATGAGAGTAAGTGTTTTGATGTTGCATTCATCACTGTAAGCATGAAACTTGTTTTTCAACCATGATGATGAATCTTTGTTATGCAACGATTCATCTACTAAATCTAAAGTTCAGCTTACCAATATAACAAAATGAAAAATATGACAAAGTAGGAGTGAGAATATTTCTTACTGCTTTTTCAGCTAACTTCAGGGATTTATGCATTATATGGAAGAAATCTAAAATTTGGTTTTCTTTCAAATTAAAGAACAGCTTCTTTTTGCCTTAAACCCCATAGCGGGATCAGGAGTTAATTTTTGGCTATTGTTATACTTTTTGATTCGTTCTCTTTTTAGGAGCACCAGCCGCTAGAAATGCAGCTTAAAACCTTGCTTTCCAGACAGTCGTTCCTTTCGGAATCATCGAACCAAACAGATTCCTTGAGTATTCCCTCAACATGTGATCTTGGTACTCAAACAGAGCTTAGTGACTCTCATGAGTCTGAAAATCTGGCGGAGCCCACATCATCATCCAGTGAAGTAAGTTCATCACCATCATTACCTCCATCTTCATCTTCATCATCGTCATCATCATCATCATCATCATCCTCCGGTGAAGGTACTGATGAGGTTTCCAGAAGGTCAAGGTTAGAGCCAGCAGAGAAAGGTAAATCATCAATGAATTTCGTCTATTCGTGTGGTTTAGAATTGGAGAGACGAGAGAGAGAAGTTCCAAACCTTGCAAATACAGAGGAAGAAAGATCTAGCATGGCTTATCTCAGTGTTTCAGAGTTCAACTATAGTGGCAACGATGCAGAGGAAGGACAGACAAATCAAACGCCACTCGTTCCGCCATTAACTTTGAAAGTTCAGACGGATGGCAAATTACGCGAGAGTAAAGAAAACCTTGAGAAGTGTATTCAAACCGATGATTGGCTAGGGCAGTCTATGGATGATGAAGTTGATGGTGCAAGGAAAACTGTTTCGTGTGAAAGTTCTGTAATCCAAAATTGTCATCCCTGTTACTCCTCAACCGGATCTGCTGAACCACCTTTTCAAGGGGAAGGTGGTGTAACTGACAACCTTCCACGAATTACAGACCAGGTGGAGCGTCATGGTGGTGCCGCTGCCTCAGTCAGTTGGTGCAATGACGCCACGGATGAAAACGGAAGGAATAGGGAACGTAAAGTCGATTCGAAGTCGCTGAAAGTTTCTCAAGAGAGGAAAAACAAGAATCAAGAGTATCTATCAGGAAAAAGTCACAACACAAGGCCTGGGGAATTTCTAGGCTTAAAGGGTGGAGGACAAGATCTATCTTTCTCTAACAGGGGCCGAGGTTACGAGAATCGCGAATCGGTCACTTACTGGAACGACAAGGACGCAAAGCCTGAGAAGGTTAGACCACGACATGACATGCGAAACACCATAGATGAAAAAGAATCAAATTTCTTTGGTATAAGGCCTTGCTTCCTTGCTTGTCACTCAGATGACAGTAGCATTACCACTCCTATCGATGACATGGGGAATATAGCAAAAAACGCCAATGGAGGATCCTCTAACACTTTTTCAAGGCATCAAGGGTCATCTTGTTTCACTAATGAGCAAGGCTATCAAGCTACTTACTCCTTTCAAGCCCCATCATTTCATTCTGAAAGTTCAAAAGTATCTGCTGACGCACAAGGTACAAACCCTCATGGCTCCTTCGGTCATAACCTTGCAGTCTGGGATCTACCAGTGCTTGTTCGTCCTCTACTTTCTCTTCCCTGCAACGGATCGGTGCATCTCCAAACCCATTCCTGCGATGAACCGCGAATTGCAGTGATACCTCCGCATGCTTTGATCAATGGTGACACACCTTTGGCGCAAACACACCCTTTTCCAGAACAGAGAAAAGTGAAGGGTCAAAGTACTGATCCTGAAGTACAACGGAAGAGAAACTATGATTTTAAAGTGACGAATGAAAATCCTCTACGTTTATCTAATACCACTTCAATTACACAAGGCTTAGTCTTCCCTGAAATGGAAATCTCCGCTCTACCACAAGCAGCCATGAACAGAAATCTAACACGGGAAAAAAGAACAGTTGAAGATCAGGGCATTGCTAACCAAGGTCCACCGTCTCTCTCCAATGATGATTCCTTAGCTGACCTAGAGCGACGAGTGGCCGAAACTTGTTCCCTTGTCGAAAAAACCTTGAAAAAAAGGGAAGTAAAAGAAAAGGCAATGAAGGAAAAAGAACGAAGAAAAAAAGAAGAGCGGGCCAGGAAAGAACAACAAGCACGTGAAAGAAAAGAGAGGGAGGCAAGTGAAACAAGACAAACGGAACGCAGGAATGACAGAGAAGAAGTCAGCAACCTGATGAGTGGTGCAGGGGAAACACCTACGCAAACCTCAGCTGGTGCTGAGGATCGACAATGGCTCTGTGAACATTATAAACGGCTCTGCCGTGTCAAGTTCCCATGCTGTGGAAAGTTCTTTCCCTGTCATCGTTGTCATAACAACTCTGGGTGTCCAAATGATAATTCCAAAGCAAGAGAGGCGTGTTATGTTGAGTGCTCGGTTTGTAGCCATCAACAAGAGGTATATAGACATATCATTTATTTAATATTATGTAAATGTGGAAATGGAGAAGTTACATTTAGACTATATGCGATAGGCTTTTAATGCTTTCTTCCTTTTTAAGATCAACCAGGACGCCCAAACCTGTGCTAGATGTAAAACAAAGTTCTCGGCATATTTCTGCTCTATGTGTAAACACTTCACGGGCACAGACAAAAATCCATTTCACTGCACAAAATGTGGTATCTGCCGGTAGGTGAAACGATATTCACTGCGAAATTGCTCGTTTTTCCATTTGTTGGATGATATTCTTGTTTTCCAAAAGTGTAAGGGGGTAATTGGCCTGCTTCGGTATCAAGTGTTACCGTATGAATGGAAAGAAAAGTCTGGCGCCAGCCTCAGGGCAAGAGCAACGCTTAATAAGAGAGATACAAGCTGTGATCGATACGCACATGAAATTTACCACTGCCATTTTATTTCTCCTCCGTCTTTACGAAATCGCATTAAAAAAAGTATTGAGCACGACTGAATATCAGTTTTTGCTCCCTCATAGGAATCAGGATTCCATTCTGTAGATCGAATCGAGTAGAAATATAGGGTTTTCACTTTGCATTAGAAAATTAATTTCTTTACGATTCATGTTAAGTTTTGCTCGAGTATTACCTGCGAAGTGATGTTCCTGTTTTCGTTTCAGCATCTTCAAAGACCGCTCCTTCCACTGTGGTGTGTGTAACGTCTGTCTGGACAAACGACTGGAAGGAAGACATTCTTGCCGAGAAAATTCAGGACATGATGAGTGCTGCATCTGTTTGGAGGTAATGACTTACTCTTCGCACTAACAGGGTGTTGCTGCAAAACTTCTAAAGGGGATTCCTCTGTCTTGTTCGTTTCACTTCGTTTCTTGTTTGTCGCGTCTGCTTGTAGATGATTGTCAGTGTTTGTGGATTTCGTCACCCGTTGTACTGTATAATTAATATTTTGTGTTCTCACATCGTTGTGAAACATTACGTCATTTTTTGTGTTCTATCGAAAAATATAGCTTTGTAGGTCAATGTTTATGCTCGATTAAAATAAAGCAGCTGCACAGTTTTCACAGCCGTTAAGTCTGGATTCCAATGAGGTAAATGTCTCTTCGTATCATTTATACATTGGAACGTTTTCCTATCTGCCAGTGTAGGAGTATGGATTTCAAAAAACTGTCTAAAGACACCCGTGACACTGGTTGCATACTAAATCAGCTCTGCAGGAGGAAATATTGGCCAATAGCTTTTTCCCTTTTGTTGTAATTATATCCTTGTTATCGACAATGAATGTAAAATCTTGTAAATGTAATGTTTGAGTCACAGATCTAGCAACAGACTAAGAGAGCACTTGAGTTTTTCTTAGCAAGGTTCTGAGTACAAAAGTAAGCGTTTTAATAGAATTGCTGGAAAAAGAAATAATTTAAAAAAAGTTGAACTGACAGATAATACCTGTTAATACTTTTACTTAATGGACGTGTGAAACATTTATTTGCAGGACGCGTTCAGCGGTTGTCAAATCCTGCCATGCTCACACAAGGTTCATAGAGAGTGTGCCATTGCAATGATACAGAATGGCGTGTAAGTATGCTCAAAAGGACATTATTTTTTATGAATTAACTAACATAACGAAGAACACTTTAATGCTCCCCTCCATTTGACGGTATCTAGTTAAAATTCTGAACTGGATTTGTATCAGGAGTTGTGGCGGAGGCTGTAGGGGTCAGTTGCCTGACTCTCGACTCGACTCGACTTCTGGCTGCGTGAACTGGAGTGTCAAAATCAATTATTGTTTTTAGCGTCTTCTTTCCTTTAAAGGAACTTGTATTTGTTTCAGTTGAATCCGTCATTGGTTTGGGATATTAACTTCTGACTGCTGTTGTGAGTAGCTGGGTTTTGGTCTAATGACACTGAGAGAAAAGCTCTCTTTACATGCAGCCTTGGAACAGCTCTAAATCTACAGCAATGCTAGGTCGATTGTGAGCTTTGCAGTCTCCTTTAGTTTTGCCCGTGATTTTACGGTGATCTTGACTTGAATATTCGCGCGTTTAATTCAAACGAGTTTAAGTTGCATTCACCTGAAATGTTTCCTTTAAATTTGCAGTCGCAGCTGCCCAATTTGTCGGCATCCACTATACAGTCAGACAAATGGCAATGAGTGAATGACAGGGTCCATCCCAGGCCCTTCTCTTCTCACCTTGTTGATAAAATGGAGAGGACCCTGAGAATGGAGCTGAAAGGATGACTTTTTATTTCCTTTTGATAATTGTTAGGTTTTCAGATTTTTTAGACTTTAAGCATAAATTCAATAACAGCTTTAGTACTAAAATTCCTTGGAGTTGTTTAATCGTTCGGGTACGAAGGCACTACCCACTCAGGACTTCTCAGGCGCAGACGATTAGATTACACAATCAAATTAATCTTGCTCCGTGTTTAAATCATTTACTGTTTTACCCTTTTTAGTTTGATTGATCGGTGCGTTTTTATATTAGATTGAAATTTCAAATTCGAACAAAATTAATGTAGTAGGTTTAGGTGTGTTATGCATGTGCAGGTGATATGTAGGTCTCCATAACCAAACTATCAAAGCTTTATCACTAGTTATCAAATATTTAGTTTTTTTACCAACAACCTAGAATTTAGAGTGGTAAAATTAAATGACTTGTCGATGATGATCTTAGACTTTACGTAAAGAACGCCTGGTTTAAGATTTCCTTAGGCATATGTATCTAGGACATTGAGTTGCTTTGATAAATAACGATACTCGGGCAAAAAAAAAAAAAAACAACAACAACAACCACGACGGAAAGGAACGAACATCATCGACTATTTTAAACGTATTACTATACAATGCTGCATGTACTTTATAATGATTCGATTTATCCCAGGAGCTCGTTTCTCGCAAATTTTGGCAACTTCACGGGTCATATTCTAAGATCTTAATCTATGCAATAGCGTGGCGGGTATTCGCTCAAAACCCAGCCCGTTCTGTGTCGTTTTCTTAAACATTTTATTGTTTGAATTCCAAAGCTATTGATGTCTGAAAAACAGCATTTTCAGACCAATGATTACCGGAACCTTCAATAAATGGGCTCCCGAGCAATTAAAAAGACTAAATTTGTAAACCTTTACCTTCATTAACTTTGAGTCCCTTGGTTGTTGCCGGACCACACTCCGCTTGAACGGTGAGAGACACTGCGTGAATACGTCGCCTATTGAGGGTCGGGTGCTAAATCGAATCATTACTTATATATAGCACAAAATTATGAATAACGAATGTTCTAGTGAATAAGCTTTATGAAGAATACAGCATGCTTTTAGTTATTTTTTTGTTCATTCTTTTGTTTAAAAAGCTGTAATCTCAAATAAATTTACGAGTTCTTTCGTATTCTTGAATTGAACGTTTCAGTCACACGGTCATCATAAAATATTGATAGTATTATGGGCTTTGGATCAGTAGAGGTACGTTGAGAGGAACAGTCTAGAAGTCATGAATTTAATATGAGAATATAGACTCCTCGAAATTACCCGCCAAAATAGAAGCTCTAACCTGGTTCTGAGGGTTAAGAAATAGCTATAGAAATTAGAGAACTCATCAGTTAAACCCTCGCATCAGGCCACGCTAAGACGCTATATCAGTAGGCCACAGAGACTGTTAGCTTAGTCAGGCTCTTTTGGGTCATTTCTTTTTTTAGTGACAACCCACTGAAGTCTTGTTTTCGAAAGCGCGATACTAATCGAAAATCGTCCTCTTCTTACTCTATACCAAAAGTTGCTCGCAATCTTTTCCTATATCCTTAAAGAAAAGTACATATCTGAACTCGGACGCTGAATTGTAAATTTATCCGAAATTCGCCTCAATGTTACTGTTTATCTCCATAACCTTCACGCGAACACGTGCCACTTCGCGAACAGATATTATCAAGTGACATTATTCTGCATAATTAGAGTGACGTCACGGAACACGATTAGCGTAGACGTTCCCTCGCCTCCGTTCCACCTGGGGGAAGTACGGCTACACATGGGCTGGTACGGACTGTCGAGTGCAACGAAGTTTACTTATTTTAAACAAATCACGTTATCGTACATGTAGGTTGCGAAAAAAATCGACTACACCTTTTCAGTCATTTACCATCAGGCTACTTGAAGTTTCCGTTAACTCGAACTTGTTTCACTTATACTTTACCTCTATTAACATTTATCCTGATGAGTCGAACTTTACTGAAGTAACAAACTAGGTCAATAAAGCTGATTGACACTAGCGATTGTTACGTACGTAATCACATTTACAAAAATGTTATAGAAGTCCTCGAAAGGCCAATAAACATCCGTAAGTTCAGTGGCAGGATGCGGTAGCGACGCAGTGCGGGCTCAGCACATATCTTCTACTAGTGTGCGGTGCCCCACACTAGTTTATCAATTAAACCAACAGAGGAAAAAAGGTTTCATGTCCTTGGAAAAAATTATTTTGCCGTCTAACATTTTCCATATTCTTCAAAGAGATAAAATGAAAGTTTGTATTTGCAAAACACATGAATTAAGCTTCCTTCGGTGACTGGGGTATACTGATAATTGGCAACACAGTCTTTGTCTTCGGAGAAAAACTAAAATGTTACAGAATGATACAATTATACAATAATGTTATCGGTGCAATAGCCAATGATGTTACATCAGAACAAAGCATTCTTGTGTAAAAGGTTAAGGCACGCCAGTTAATTATTTAAAATGCGGAAATGTTTTCATTTGCTTAGTTAGCAGGGCCGTAGCTAGCATGAGGCAAGACGAGGCAATTGCCTAGTCTTGATTTTGACCTGATTGACTTTTGTGCCTTGGGAAATGCTTAAAGAAGCATCTCTGAACCTCCAGATTCCACAATTTTCTGGGGGGGTATGCCCTCAGACCTCCTAGCGGCTTCCGCCCTCTCGTCTTGTTTTGGAGTCTGGTTACGGCTTACTTAAAAGGTGATATGCTCTCTCTTCGAATGGCGCTCACCAGTGATAATTTGGCTTTGCCTTTGATTTTCTTAAATTTGCTTCGGTGACATCTCTCAAAATTTTCACAATTTGGGAATATTATCCTACCGATCATTCAAAAGCCGAAAAAAATTGGGGTCACAATGGCAGTTTCCTCGCTATATGCAATTTTGTGTTTTCTCCCTCCATCTCAATTTGTTTTATGGACACGGCACTAGGAAGGGCACAAATACGCTTGACAGTCCTGCAAATCTTGGGAAATTCCACCGAAGTAAACGCGATAAATCTTGCTTGAAAGATCCCTATTCTTTATAGCAAAACATTACGTAATGGAACAGATCTTCGCCATGATCATGCTTAGAGTTTCTTAGTCTGAGCATGCTTAGATTTTCGAATCTGTCGCCTTTCGGCAATCTTTCCCACGGTGTTTTCTTTTCGGTTGACTTCTTTTTCAGGCGTAGCTAGAAGGCCTATGAATATTACGGGTGCAGTTACTGCAAACCCTAGATTCCATCACATAAAAACTGTATAGTGTTAAAATGTTTTTAAGATGCCTTTTCAGATAACAATCGTGCAATTGTATCGAGCCACCGTGTTTGTTTTACAAGTTGACACTATTTTTGTTCATGTTATGCTCGCACCAAGATCTTGCGCGGTCAAAAATCACTATGGAGCCTCCTTAAATCAAAAAAGGTGCTTTTGCTTATGACGGTAATCTCTTCGGTGGTTGCGCATATGTGACGCTTCAACGCGTTTGAGATCGTGGAAAGAGTGAAAGAAGCTAAAGAAGACCTTGATAAATGCTTTGTTGTCCACCGTTGGTAAATTAAAATAATTAAAACAATTGGGAAGTCAGTTTGCCTACGAGATGAACGGTTTTGATACCCATTCGTCAGCTTACGAACTGAATTACTCACAGATCAAATTCATTTTCTTGTGTTCATAGTCTCGAATAAGATCGTGTCAGTTCTTCCTTTAGCGCTGAAATGTGTCGCGACGCAATGAGGAGCTTCTGTTCATCAAAGATGCTGTCGCTGTCTAGAAAAGAGCTCAGTCTAGCGATAGTAGTTTATTAATATCACGAAAATATATCAAACACATCTCCTTTATTTCGAGAAAACCTAGAGTGGCCCATTTTCCTCAGGTAAGCGGAATTTATCACATTTAACATGCTGCCACTGCTGAATTACCGTCAGTAAAAACCGGAAAGTGCTCTTGTTCGAGAAGGAAAAAGAACCCCTCGTGATTTATTCTATTTGGAATTACGCGATTTACTAATGGTGTTTACATTTTTGATTAAAATCAATGCAAGTCACTGAGGCCTATCAATGGTGGGTCGGGAACACTTATCATGCCAATCAATCATGCAAGTCGCAAGTGGCAAGCCGCAATATAACATATGATTACGTGAACTTGCTCAAACAAGCATGAAAATTTAGTTACCACACCATGAGGTCCACAAGCGGACATAAAAATGATGATTATCTCGCTTGTGGAAAAAATTAAGGGAATTTTCTCTTAACATATTTCACGGAAACATATGCAGAATTACAAGTAAGAAAGCGTCTCCTACAACTTTTTAGAAGTTTTTATTGCGTGTGTACTAAAAACAATAGATAAAAATAGCTTTAATAAGAGAGACATAAACTGACTTCCGATTGTTATTTGTACTTGGACGAGTGGCGCGACGGAACAGTGAAAACGAGTGACCGTTCTACGAGTGTTCTCAGTAAAGCTCCAATGTTTGTTCCTATAGCCTCAACGCCTCAGTAAAGGTGGAAGAAAAGTGGATAGATAATTAGGTAAACAAGTAATGTAAGTATAAAAATAACTTATAAAGTCTGTGGCTTTCGAAAGCTTTGACGGCAATCTGACGAAGTGAGGCCATGCAAGTTCACTCGAGGTCTTTTAATCGATTTTCACCTTCAACACGCGAATTTAATTTAAAAAAAAACTGCATTAGTCAGTTTATATTCAGCATCGTTGCACTGACTACCACCATACGCTAAAATCGCTAAAACGAGAAGCAAATATATCACGATTATATAACTCTGGCGATTCAGAGATTTTTAGTTCAGATTCAAGTCAGAATTCTCTACTTGAAAAATGCAAATTTTTCTCATTTCGCGTAAATTGGTGATGTGACGATCTTTGCAAGTTCTGTGAGTCGTAAAAACGAATTGCGCCGATAATTCCCTTGGTGAAGTCGGTAGAATATAATTACTTGCTTTCTGTCTGTAGTGACCGTAACTTTTCAGAAGCTTTCTAGCCATCTAAAGAAAGTGAGACTGTCAAATTTTACCTGTACAAAGCGAGTTTTGTTGACTATAAACGGTACTATTGATAATGGTGATAGGACCGAGTAGAGTCCAGTTCGGTCTGTAATCATACGAGTGATTGACAAATTCGGACGACCGCGAAACGGGAGTCCGATTTCTTAATCAAGAGTATGACAACAGAGTGGACGACACGAAGACCTGTTACCAATCAATCAAAGCTATTTAAAAAATTCGGGAAAGAAAGGAGGTCAAACAAGCAGTGGAGACTCTAAACCTATGAATTTATTATTTTTTTTAACTTTGAAGAATAACTCATCTTGATATACTGATTATAATTCAGCGATATTTGTGTGCAAGAGAGAGAGAGAGAGAGAGAGAGAGAGAGAGAGAGAGAGAGAGAGAGAGAGAGAGAGAGAGAGAGAGAGAGAGAGAGAGAGAGAGAGAGAGAGAGAGAGAGAGAGAGAGAGAGAGAGAGAGAGAGAGAGAGAGAGAGAGAGAGACTCTGAGAGTTCGAAGCTCCATTCCTTGTTTCTGTACACCATAACGCCAATGTCCGCGATAGCCTCGAGCCATTTCCTATATATTTGCATTCAGGCTCTATACCAAAGCGCTCAACATTTCAAAAACCTATGATTGTGTCTAACAGATAGATGGATTTCTCAGAAAATCCTCCGAATACGTTCGGTTGAGAAACCATAATTCCCTTTTGTCGTAAAATATTATTCATAACTATTTAAATTGCTGTAGACTTGCCAACAAACTTTGTACATGCGATCTTTCTTAACTGGTGAGATGTAACTACACTGGGCCGGAAGCTGCTGATGCGTTCTGAGAAAAAGGACGAACGAGGTAATGAACTTTTAAAATTTTTTCATACCAGCGTTACCAGAAGAGACCCTTTTTTTCGACCTTAATTTGCATTTCGAAAAACTTACCAATTTGTACGAAAGAATTCTTAAAATGCAGGTGTTCATCGGGCTAAAAAAAAGCACATCAGTGCATAGTTCATACATCAATGAGCTCACCGAGTTTCTCAAACCCGCGGTTATAACTCTAACTTTCATCTGCAAACATCTTAAAAACAACGCATATCCATGTGTTTGCTCAATTGAGCTCGTGTCAGAGGTTATTTGCATAATTCTGAAAAATTGACCAAGATCTCCTTTTGATCGTTCAAACTTCGTTTGTTTACCTTTTACTTTGAGGATTTTAAGTTTCCACAACAACTGAATGGAGAATAGGTGCCGAGTTGTCCTAGAATGTTACGTGAACGTGATCGATCTTAACGCTTACGCGCCTGCGTAATTTACAAAGTAAACAAAGGTGATCGGAAGGCGCCTTCTCCATAATTTTCGTTGAAGTATCAGGTCATGAACTTACCACAGTGTGGAGAAGATCCAATTTAAAAGATAATATTTGGCACTCTGGTCTTACAGACATATCGCGTAGCTTAAAAGGACACACAAACAAGTTAAGTACGTTACAATGTTATTTACAAAACAACACGCATTCACTTTGAAAGAATTCTTGCAGTTTCTCCCGAGATTTAGCACACGGAACGCAATAAACTGGGCCTCTTTTCTTCAAATTTGTTTCCATAATTAAAGATTTAACGCTGTTATGGACCACAATGGCTTTGAGCGACAAACTCAACGTTCCCCTGCGATCATCAAAGTCAACTGGACAAACCCAGCTTGGTGTAATGCGTGGCGTGATTATGCTAATTTTTCTCTTGTCCTATAACCTGTTTCGCGGGTTATAAAAAGTGAAACCAAAATTAGTTAATTTAACCACAGTCGGCCCAAGCTTACGCCTTCAGGAAAAGCAAACGATGAAAGCGTCACACGTTGCGTGAACCGGTGTTAAGAGCAATAGTCTGTAACTTTCGAACTGTTTCAAAAAATCGCGGCCACTTAACCTCACCGATTTGGCTGAAATTTGGCATGAGGCTGACTTTAGGGTCCTAATCACGAAGTGTGGTTGGGAGTTCCATTTGTTTTTTGCTCGCCAACATGCCGTATCGAAGGTGTTCTTATAACTTAAACTCGAGTCCTGTCGTAAAGATTTCCTAAAATCTCTTGAATATGAAATTTACCATTTTCTTAATTACCTCGTTGGAATGCGAACGCAATCGCTAATTGAGTTTACTCTCAGATCTATTTTGCTTTAAGAGACTGTTCGTGAAGGATATTTTTTAAAACTTTTTCGATGGCTCTAAACTAGCTTTACATCTAATCTATATGAAAAACGAAAGAATCAATTCGAATTAAACCCTCTTTCATCACTGAAATGTCGGTTGTAGCGAAAACGAAGACCCCCGAAAGCTAAAACCCAAGACCCAAGAACTAAGAAACCATTTTTCATTTACTTTTCGGTGGCAGTGAGATAGGGGTAAGGAAGTGGCGTGGGCACCATTTACGTGGTTTTTTTTTCAGCTTGAAAATAGTAACAAGTTCAAACTGTGTTCTTCTTTAATAGGTCAGTGCCTTTATGAGTTTAAGTCTCAATGAGTGTCGTGTTTCGCAACGCACATAAGTAACAAATACCTACCCCTGACACAGATGTTTTCAAAAAGGTAGTGCATGTAAAGGAGCGAAAGCGAGACAGAGGAATAATGCATTGATCAATTCGAAGCTTCAACATCCCCCTCCCCCGGGCAACCCACGGGTATTTGAATAAATGTTATAGCTTCAATAGAGCTTAGAAACAGACGATATATCCATTTCTGTCCATTGCCTGCTTATCTAGATTTTCGAAAATTGTGAATAACGGCAGTAGCTGCAACAGACAAGCATTTAACCCTTACATGTTAAGATATCTTGCAGTTATAATGTAATGTGTTGTGCGTAATAGGAATAATTGAACCTCTGATTTAAAACAAAGAGGCATCTGAATAGATACTTATGAAGCCGATTTTTCTTCAACTATTCTGCTTTCTGTTTGTACAGCATTGGCTTCCCTGAGTTACAATTACTTGTATCATGGAAAACGAAGCTAATGGTTTGATAGACTCCTTCGTGGCCAGACACACTAGAGATCCTACCTTACGCTTGGAACTGCTTTCTCGAAATCAAAATGGCTCACGCCATGACCAAGACACAGGGATGGGGGCAGAGGTAAGAAAAACTGAATACAGCATAACTTTTAGATGAAGAGAGGGACACTGATATTGCTTTTCTGGGACTACGTTGAGGATCTGCTAGGGCAGGAAGGGCGTTGTAAAAGTCATTTTCAATCACCAAAATTGAAGCTGAGATCGCAGCTTTTATTGACTACGACATAAAAACTGGAAAAAACAACTATGAGACTGAATGATCCAGAAAATTTGATCAAACTACTTATTCTCAGCATGACAAAAAGATACTTTAGGAAATTGCAAAATAAACAAACGAAAATCGTTGTTGTTTTCGTTGTCGCGGCTGCCCCATATAAGTGTTTTGCGATATTTTGCCATTTTTTATTAATTTAAAACAAAAACAGCTCATAGATTTATGATGCATCAAAACAAGCATTCCAAGCGAGTAAAATGAGTCTACATCGCCCGTTCGAGGAGCTAGCCATATAATAAAATCTTTGAAAATGATCTTATTTCGTTTCATTTCTTCAGATTGTCGGGTCAAACAACATTGCTACCGACTCGTCTGCAGCTGGTTCCCCTTCGGCCGAAGTTTTCCTAACAAACTCTCAAGCTTCAAATTTGTTTGCATTGTCTCCGCTAAACATAGGACCTTGGAATGTTGAGTCTTTAGAGTCCACGAATAACAGTCGTCTTGCATTGGTGCAAGGGGTAGCAAGAGCAACGGTCCAAATGAACAGGGGAATGCGAGAAAGAGAAGAGCGTGAGCTGGAGCGGGAACAACTTCAAAGGGACCAGGAAAGAGGGAAAACAGAGATTAGAATGAGAAGAAATAGAGAAATGATAGGAAGAGAGAGAAGGGAAATAAGAAGATCTAGTGGATGGAAAGAATGGCAAGAGGCAGTTCCTGGACCTTGGTGCTCATGCCGCCTCGATGAGGTGACAATATAACATGTTTTTATTTTATCGCTTTCCTTCTAAATTGACCAGTAAGTCGCCTTTCCTCGTACCCGCTCTGGGAAAGTTGCGTAGCTTCTTTCATATCGGAATGAAATGACTCAAGTGACTAACGATGGCATATAAAAAAAGAAAAAATACAAACTGAAAAATGGGAAAGAAAGAAATCGTGAATGAGAGGGAAGTGAACAAAATAAAACTTATGTCGATCTCATTTTCACACTCCAGTTCCTGCAGTTTTGCCTGCTGCCCATCATTACTTCTTTCCACATGCACCCCTTTTGAAATTTCTTAGTTTTACCTTTTTTTTCCTCTTTTCAGTTTGTGGGAGACACCATATGCAGAAAATGTGACAGACAGAGATACTTGTAAGTCTTTAGCCCTAATCGCTCGTTAGTAATAGTGCTCATTATTCAGCAAATTTGGTGCCACAGTTGATACTGTTGCTGCTTAAACCTAGTTTTTAGGATGTCATTTTCAAAATTTTCAAGATGTTTGATTTTGCGATTCTGGAAAGGACAGGAATAGTCTCTTCGCACCAGTCAGGTTAAGTAGGAACGTTATGGGTAAATTTTAACAGAGGAACTCTGGTAGCAGTGTATTGTACTGAAGAAGTCCTTTTCTATCTTCTGGCGCTAACAGAGAAAGAAACAGTGTTGTTACCAATGCAGCAGAAAATTTTGATCGACGTCCTGGTCAATCTCGTGGCCTATTGACGAACAGAAGATGTAGCAGCTCTCTGCTTGAGTTGGAACAACTCGTGGAAGGAGCGTGCGCCTCGGTGGAAAGGGTGTCGAGGGAGAGAGAAAGTGAAGAGTTTGGTCGGGAAATGAAAAGAAAAGAGCATGAAATACGAACAGAAAGAGCACGGAAGAAGAGAGGAAAGGAGGCAAGACAGCCTCCGGAAGTTAGCATGTGGCCTCAGCAGCTATTTCATACACTTCTGTGTAACTTTAGCAAGGCATTTGAGGAGGTAAGTTAACTGAGGGCCCTGTAATTATTTATCACCTGGGGGGACGATCACGTTGATTTCAGAATCAGTCGTCGCTAACAAAGGATAAGGGTGGGACTCAAGGATATTGACTGCCAATCAGGGGTGGGGATAAATCATTAGAATACTAGAAAGACTTGGGGATGGAGGGGAATCAACTACATTTTATTTCTACAAACCTAAAATTCCCCGCCCCTTCCTCCTCCATCACCTCGGCGATTTGAAATGACAGGTCCCTGACTACCACGATGGGCGTAATGGAAAATCTTTCGCTTAAAAATTAATCTAAAACCTCTTGATAGTTGCCTTATTATATTTTCAGCACGAGTGGCTAACTAGGAGCGTTCCATATAAAAGAGACATGCTATTCAATGTTAGAATCGCTTATCAAAATTTTGTCGGTGTTAACTAGCATGTATTTTTTTCATTTTAGAATCTAAGAGGGGAGGATCCTGGAAGACAGAAGTAAGTACAAGCAGACTGAAACCTGTAATATGCGTGCTCTTTTTCTCCTTTGGATGAATAGGTCTTCCCTGTCTGACTCATGCTAAATGTTAATCAATCGGTTTGTTCATTAATCCACCCGTTAGGAAATGAAAGATTTTTTTCTTCGCGATAAGGCTAACTACAGCTCTCTCTTCGTTTCGAATTGTAATGGATCACCCTCTGAATCACAACGTTTACAAAGGAGATCGATGCATTTTTGTTTGAATAAACGGCTTCAATAAAAACCTAAAATGTGCGCCCTTTTGTCGCCTTTGGCTCGATTTGGCTGTATAAGTCTTCTCGGTCTGGCTTATGCTAAACGTTAAGTAATCAGTTTGTTCATTAATCAACCTGTTAGGAAATAAAGGAATTTCTTATACGCGAGAAGGCTAACTATATCTTTTTCTTCAATTTAGAATTGTGATGGATCACCCTATGCATCACGACATCTCCAAATGTGATGTTTCTCTGAACAGACGGCTTCAAGGAAAACCCAAATACATTCCACAGTCAGGACAAGATGAATGTTGCATCTGTTTGGAGGTAATGACTGAGATTAAAGGCCCTGATTTTAGCAACTGCTGCAAAGCACGATTGATAAAAGCATTTGAGAGTCACTTCATTGGCGTCTTGGAGGCTAGATGGCTGATCACTGAGTAAAGCAAAATAACTTCGTAAAACGTTGTGGGTATGGTTTAGATATAAGTGTCGCGATCGAATTAATTGGCCGGGCCATAAAATTATTACTAACACACTTAAAGTTCTTCAAGTAATGGTGAATCGATGAAACAGTTCCTTGTCTGGGTAACGGGCCATCATATCATCATATTTCCTTTCTAAGAGGGACTTCTTTTTGAAATGATACAGTTTAAATGTCAACAGTCATTGATAAACTCAAATTTTCCTTTTCTTCCCTTTTGAAGATCATCCAATCGATCAGTCAATCAAAGAACTAATCGTTCGGTCGCTTCTGATAGAGACGTCCGCTCCGTTTGTCTGTACGCCAAATGCTGTTACGAACAACAGTTTCCTTTTTTTTTTATGAGTCCATCAACATAATGATTACGTGTGAGTTCACTGAATGATAAATGAAATCGCTTTTCCCCTTAACTGCAGAACGGGCTCAGTGGTTATCAGATCCTGCCATGCTCACACAAGGTTCACAGAGAGTGCGCTATTGCGATGATTCAGAATGGCGTGTAAGTACACCCAAAAAGTCCACACATCTATAGTTATAAGTTTTGCTACCGGAATAAGATGATTGTTAATTGCCCTTTTTGATGCCCAGCCGTTTTGTTAGATTTCGTGTCCAAGATTACTACAATGAAACAGAAACTACAATGCTTTACTTGGTTCTAAAGATAAAAAAAAACGTATGAGTAATAGTTTGGTTTAAAATTCTCCACGCCTGCTTCACTATTCCCTTAAAATTTATTTAGGATTAATCTTCTTCTACTCATTTTTCTTTCAGTCGCAGCTGCCCCATTTGCCATCATCCACTGTTTGGTCAGACGTAATGCACCAAGCAGACAGACAGGATTTTGTACTGAATTCACAATTGTTTATCACACTTTTATGGTTTAAGTTTTGAAACTGATTGAAAGCTTAAGTAGAGGGTCTCAAAGGGGTTAACCATCTGTCGCAAAAGGGAAAAAACATTTAGCTATTAGGCGTAAAAATTTTTCAGGCTTTTTGGTGTCTTACCTGCTAGCGCAGTAACGAAGTTACACAATCTATTCTAGTATCGATAACGAAAGTGTAGGCTTCTCGCACGTTAAATGAGTTGACAGACACCTGGCTATTTTCAGGACCTTCAGTTTCTTCATTCAGTGTATGAGTAATGGCTGTCCTGAAGGGTATAATTGCTTCATATCAAGTTGGTAAAGAGAAGGAAATGGATAGATATAGTGCGACAACTGAAGTCGGATAACACCACACCATTTCCACAGTTAATAGAATCAAATCTGATCGATTATCTTGGTCTCAACGATCAAGAAGTTTAGAATAGGGTCATTTGTATATGTATTCGTATTATAAACGTATGGGCCCAAGGGCAATTAGGGATCAATTTCACGCGTATTTTAAAAGTTTTCCAAAGCCGTTCAAAATATACAAAATGGATCCGAGTGCCATATCATCATATTAGAAACGCTTGCTGAAGCCGCACTTGGCAATATTGGCCCTCAATATTGGTCCCTTAGTCGATGCTCAACTCTGTTTTTGATGCGCTCCTCAAAAAACCCAAAAACAAATAGGTCAGATTTCAAACTGCTTCACTGAAGATGAGTCATCATAACAGGAAACGGTATTTCTGAGATCACATGTAAAGTACTTCAGGCGGGGGGTCTCCAATACCTAAACCTTATAAGTATTTAACGTCTGAAAATAAATATATTCTCTGAGCCTTTTGGCTTGAAAACGAGTGTAGAACTTGACTGTTGTGGTCTTGAACGGGTATAGTTCCACGACAACGAATGAAAGAATTTTCTTTTAAACTCCAAATGAACAAAGACAGAGAAGCAACTTAAATGTGTCACTGAAGCAGAGTTTTCGAATAAATATAAATAAAAGAACATCAACTGATGTTCTCTTGAATTACTGATTTCTGACTTCCGATTTGATAACTGAAATATATTATCTATTGGGTACAACAGTTTATTTTCTCAAGTTTTTCTGAATTCTAGGCAGTTAAAGTATTTTACTATCTCTGACAAGAAAGTTTTCTTCGCCAAGTCGCTGAGTGCAGAAACCGTATGAGATCTGAGCACGCGCATGGCAGTGGATCAGACTGAATAAACAGTGAACAGACAAAAAAAAATTTCTTTAAGAGGATGGAGAAGTAGTTTATTGCTGGGAGGAGAAAACTGATATAAAGAAAGCATAATAAAGCGGTCAAATCTTAGCAGGCTTCTTTCAGCATCATTCTGGGCCCAGTTGGTTAAAGGGTGGATACTGAACGCTATCCAACGGATAAGAGTTAACAAAATGTACTGAGCTATCTATCGTATAGAGATTTATCAAATTGCAATGGATGGCGCTGTTCACCCTTCGAACAACCGGGGCCTGATGTTTTCCCGAGGAAAAATTTTTGCCAAACAGCATTATGGATTTGTTAGGCTTTTCTTCGTCAAAATCGTCTCTAGCTCGCCGCAATCCAACATGGACTACTACCGTCAGAACCTGCTATCTATATAAACAGAGCAAATATTGCTTATGAAGTTTAAGTACGACTCAGTACACATCTTAGTCGGATGAGAATACAATATCGTTTTCCACGTAGTTTGCCTTTCCACAGCCACACAAAACAAAACAAACTGGTTAGAATTAGAAAACTTTGGAGGCGACCTTTTCACACAAAAATACTGAAATGAATTATTTTTGAATTTTTGGGGCCCACCTATTTTGTATGATTAAAGATAATAATTTTGAGGCTGGAGAAATGAGTGTCAACTCATCCAACTTTCTGACGGCATCTTTCTGATTACTTTTTTGACTAATTTTCACCTTATCGAATGTTTACTTTGCCTTTTTTAGCTGTTGCCAGGTTGTATATTTTTAGTTATGAGTAAATTGCGTGACGAAAAAAACCTTTGTCCGATATTGTTTTTTCCATTTCATATCTGTTTCCTTTAGCTGGCTTATGGTGAAGCTAAATGGAAAATTCTAAACTGCTGAAAAACGAAGTGTCCTCAAATAGAAAATACAAACTCAAAATACTGACACAGATGCGTAGAACGAAATTTCACATTTACAAAATTTTTCTGCTGTCATCTCATTTGGATTTATTCGCTAAAAATGGCCTGTTGTCCTTTCCGTCTTTTCCGCTAATTATTCGGTTCTCTAGTACACAATTCTACTTATATCCTAGCTTATTTTTATTCTGTGTAACTCTGGTTAATCCCTTAGGCTCTCACACTTTGATTTTCCCTGACTACTTCTTCAACTGCGGAATTCTGACTCTACTCTTATGCACACTGTCTACATTCCTCTGGTCTACTGGTCTGGCCTGGCCTCTTTCCTTTCTTTCTTCTTTCCTTTCTGAGAACAGTGGACTGCACGAGAAGCTTTCCTATGTAATAAACTTATCTCAAGGGGACTTTGTAATGGGTAAGCGCAAGATAAGCGTAAGATAAACAAAGTTCCCGATCTTCGAAAAATTCATGGCTCATAGCGGGAAAACGTTTTCTGTAAAAAGACATGTAGACTCAAGTTCCTCGTTAAGTCTTTCAGCTTTTTGATTCACGGCCATTCGTCAATTGCCAGATAGTAGGCACTTAGTCACCTATGTACTCCTTGGTCTGTAGTTATAAGTGTTCGTTATGAAAGGTGAGTGATTTGTATCTTGCATGGGTCACGTGGTACACATACCATTACTGTGTTCAAAACATCTTCATAGCAATACATATTTTGATTCCGGTATCAAATCGATATCGATATGGAATTCTGAAGTCCAGCTGACTACATGTTTCAACTGTGCTGTTTAAATCAGTTATTTTTACTTTTGAGTGAAAAGAGATCGTCTATTTGAATAATGTCTTACCAAAAACGAATGACTGTTTATAGCCTATTAAAAAATTTAACCTGTACACATAGCCATGTAATCATCTCTTTCATGATCAACAATTTTTCAATAGACTTAGCTGCTATAATTCCAAGTTTGTAGGTATATGGCTCAGGCACCAAAAATTTTTGCATTTTTGTTTTATTTCTTAAAAGATTCAACGTCTCTCGACCTTGATAAAGCAAACAAAGCTTACAGAGCGCGCGTAACGCGAAACCGAAGCGGAAAAAAAAGGCACGTATGTTTGTATACACTTGTTTTTACGACGATCCAGTTAAAAAACATTCACGACAAGAAGCTTCTTTAATAAGCCTAAATTGGTTAGTCCTTGGATATGCAAAGTTAACTTTAACAACTTAACTTTGTTTTTGACCGCAGGGGTTTTGGCATAGAGCCGTCTTATGACTATTATAAATCTCTAACCATAATTATTTGATCAGAAACCTCTTGTCTTGTGGACTTCGACAACCAAAGTAGTAAGTAAAAAAATATTTGTTTAAGATCCAGAGGGAACAGAATACTGCAAAAACTCATTGTCTTAAGCATTTCTTTTTTTTCCGATATCAATATAATTTTTTTCATGATATAGTTGGGACTTTTAACCCGGGAGAATTGAACTTAGAATTTTGCTTTCTGTTGAGTGAAAAATCCGACGCTTTTGGATTTTTAATTATGTCAAGTTTAAGTTGTAAGGAAAGCGCATCCATGCCATAAAAAGATACCAATAGTCACAGTCAGTTGATGGTAGGAGATCTCTTACAAATAATAGTGTCACCTTTTGCGGCGAGCAAAGTACTTCGCCTGTATTTTACAGTGGACTTATTTGAAAACAATCATTGAATTTACTGAATGGTGGTACGGATAAAGTTAGTCCTGCTATCTTCGAATCTCAGAAAGGCGTATCATTCAAGAACAATTTCAAGCTAAGTTGAACTTTTGGAGAACAGCGACGAAAACATTTTTACGCTCTTCGTCCTGGTTCACAAGCCTTAGCAGTATGCTTCAACACGAGTCAGGAAATTACAAAACTATAACCTTGCTGTTGTGTTTACAGCTGCGGGCAGTTTAATCAAGAAAGTGAATTGGCTTGGTCAGTTATTGATAGAGATATTTAAAAAATGATAATGTCACCCGTGGTGAAAAGCAAACCATTGTATCATTATTCAAAATGAACTTATTTTATTTCTTCCTGAGAACAATAAATTTACAGACACTTATTGGTGCGTAACTTGAAATCAGTCTTTGTCTCGTAGGCTACGAATGTTCGCAGAGCGTGTTATTTACTCGACACTAACAATTTTACTTCGAGTGTCACACCTGACAAAATGGCCTTATGCCAAAAAATATGTTCAAAATGTTGCATTACGCTTAGTTGAATAATTAAAAAAAAATAGCTGTTAAGAGCCCCTCAACCTCCCTTCCCCTATTTCTTCCACCAAAATAGGTTAATCTTGCTAAGAATAAAATGATTACCAAAGTTCCGAACACGACATCTTGCTGGATCAAATTCCTAGAGTGATTTAGGGATTTAGTTTCAGCGTTGTATATTCGATGGTGCGTTTTCTCATTGGAAGCTTCCAGCTGCAATTTCATAACAGAGTGAAGCTGCACTGCTAACCTTCTTGGGAGACAAGCTTAGCACGCCAGGGCAGGATGCATTATGCGATGGATTTTAAATAAGCTATGACATAGATGGTTCGCGAGCCTGAGAGTCTTGCACGCCCCTTTGCTCGCGACAGTGTAAACAGAATAATTATATTTTTGTTTCCGCCTGAGCATTTTGTGAACTATCGAGCTGCGCTTCAGTGATAGCTTTGAACAAAACTGACTAATGACCTTGAACAGCTTATGCTTCGATCAGTAGTTTCTGTTTCGATTATGTGACATTATTTTTGGCCTGCTCAAACAAGAACTTATCCTGAACTGAACATCAGCTCAATCCAGTTTAACCAGGTAAGGCTAGAATTTTCCTAACTGTTTTCCAGATTAATACGTACATGAGAGGTCTGTTTGCCAAAGCCTACTCCACAGGTCTGAAATCTTAAAGACAAATCAACAGATTGTCGCAAGATTAGTTTTAATTCAAGGGGAAAGCTGAAAAACGCAACACTATGAAACTGTTGTGGTTACTGTTGAAAGTTTAAATTCCTGTGAAATTGTGTAGTGCAGTAGTCAGTGCTCATAGTGTGTATTTAACTTAATGTTCAATCGATGCACGCATGTGTGAACATGGAGGGAAATTAAGCTATCCGTTCTGCAATTGCTTGCATGTGATTTCGATTTAACTTAAACCGCCCTCCAAACAGCTTCCGGACACTATAGAAGAGACAAGGTGAGCAGATATTCGTTAACAGTCAAGATATACTGCATACAGGGCACACCTTAGAATGCATATTAAGATGATAATTGTCACTGTCTTCTGAACAGCTTCTGTGGTAGGTTGAATAAATAAAGTGAGCACACGCTCGTTTATAGCCGAGATAGATTGCATAAGAAGAATAAACTGTGATGCATGTCTGTAATAACTATACTTTATTTTTAACGGAAATTGATTAAATAGCGGTGCGTTCCTCTTGAGTACCCGTGATCTGCTTTCATTTCTAGCTAACCATGAACAAAATTAGGGAGCATTTCGATCGAGTCTCTCGAAACCACAACTAAAGTATTAACGAAAGTCAATCAGTGGAAAGGAAAACTGTGAAAAGGAACCAATCAAAACTGTAAGGGAAACCAACCAAAGTGCTTTGGGCGCGTGTTACCGAAGCGACAGAGTCATGATTAGGATGATTGGCTGAGGGGATGGCGTGAGTTACATGCAACAATCACCGAGCGAAGCAGTCCCGGATTAATTTCGACACTCAATTCACATTGGCTCACGTAAACCAGTGTAACTCGTCAAAGCATTTTATTTTGTTGTTCCCAAGTGGTTATCAGCAACTTTATCGATTCATAGGTAGACAAGAGGGTAGCAAGGGAAGGTTCCTAATCTCGTTTCACGTGTAAAGTTTAGAAACAATCACGCGTCACATGTACTTAAAATAGTATTTCACGCGCAACGAATTTAAAAGGGAAAACTTCAAACCTCACTGAACTTTGCCTTCTTGTAAAATTCACGAGTCAAGTATTGATTTTTTGGACTTAATCACGTGTCAGGTACAAACTCTCTGCCACTCTCAGACAAACCTACAGGTTTGAGATCGCACGACGTCATACAATACGATAATTGATCTACTACGTAAGTTGTACTGTAAAAGTAGTCGAAAAAACACAGAAAACCACTAGCAAGGGAACGATTTTTTTTTAATCAAACTTCAAATAGAAAGGATTTCATGGATCGAAGGTTACGAATTTTATCTATGTAAATTTTCTCGTGATCACTCGAATTAAGGCCAGATTAACCTTCAGAACAGGCGTCATTTCTAATAAGTGTTTCTCATATAAGCGTAAGACAAACTTAATGCAAGCGCGAGGCTCCTCCATCCCCTCACGTGAGTCTCGCGGGCCTCCACCACTTGAAAAATGGATCGGTCGTTTCAAATTACAGTTAACCTAATTTACATTCAAATTGATGGCACTAAATGCTGTTTCAGTTAAGATGTTAGATAAACCAACACCACAAATGCATTGGAAGCCAAGGAAACTATCAATCGATTCAACTTACTCTGTCACGTAGTTAGGTGAATTCAAGACGGGACTTTAACTCGGCGTAATTTTAAGTTCTTTTACTTGCGTTAGTTTGTGAGATAATGGCACTTTCTGTATGTGTTATAACGGCCCACCGATCAAGGCCAGTTTGTTTCAAATTCATCGAGAAGATTGCTTTTGAAATGCTATGATAAACGGATTGCAAGGATGCCAGGTCTTCCTAAGCTTTAGGTTTTTATAGTCTCATAAGGAGTCCCTTTAGGTCGCTTCCGCTTGTACAGTACGCTCAGCGCTCAGTGGATGTATATTATTTTGCTTGTTGTGAAATTCTGTATTTTGTGAACTCGCCGCACGCGCATCATATACTCGCAAGCTCTACGATAATGGCACTTTACACGAACATAGGACCGCCTTGAATCTGTTCTTCTGTTTTCACTACACACGCTTTTTTTAACTTGTTGGGTCGATATTTCGTCTCCGTTATTTGCCATGGAATGTCTTTGATTCTACAGCTCTTGGCTGTTTAATTTGTTTCGGAAATTTTTAATATGGCGACTAAAGTCACTTGCAGCTTTTAGATGCCGTATGAGGTAGAATGACTTTTGCCGAGATGATCCCGTACTGCTTTTGTATTTAGCAACGCACTTCACAATCCAGAGGAGAACTTGGTAGCATCATCGCAAAAGCGTCACACACACACACACACACACACACACACACACACACACACACACACAAAAACAAATCCACTTCCCCTTCGAAACCTAGTTGTTTTATCTTAACATGTTCATAAGATCACATGGATATATTAGAACGTCACCAAAGACGAAATGCCAGCCTGCTGCAGGACCTCGGTGAAAGCGAAAGAAACGTGCGCGAGAGAGCTGACTAAAACATTCCGCCAGGAGTAACATTATTCAGCTTGAGTATAAAAAATTTGATGACACTTAATGTGGATCAATTTCTGTTTTAAAGCTTTACCTTTTTTCCAGTAGTAATACATTTGACACGGAAAGATGGACAGAACAGCTCTCAAGATTCCGAAAAACGCTGGTTCAGGACTCCATCTTGAGGATGAATCGGAATGTGATGATAATCAGTCGGCCAGGCGCAGCACATTTGGACACTTTGAAGAAACGATGGATCAGTTCCAGCAATTCAAAGTGGAAGCGGCCACAGAGTCTTTGCAAGCTGCTTATAGGCACTTCCTGAATCTAAGCCCAGATAGCTTCAGAAACCCGACTGACTACGAGAAGGAGCAGGTGGATCGAGGTAGAGAGATGGGTTTGAGTTATTGTTCCGCTCCTCCTTTCTTTGGTGCTGTTTTGTTAAACCCCAAGCTGATCGCAGATAAGGATGTCCATTTTTATGCTAGCTTTACCACTGTTTTTGGTGCTGTTGCACTCAAGCTGCATAAATATAAAATAGCTATAGACTTATTTCAGCGATGTGATTCTCTTTACACATTTGATGCCACGCCATGTCCTGAAAACAACGAGCAAGTTATCAATATTTTAAGAGCAGTAGCCAAGGCTAACGTAGGCTGTGTTTATCTGATTATGAGAGCTACGAACAAGGCTAAGGATTATTTAGAACGAGCGCTGGAGATTTTTGAAACATTTAAAAACAAAACTGACTCTCCAGAAATAAACATTGTTGCTGTACAAATCAACTTAAGCTTAGCTTACCAGTGTCAGAAAAACTACCCTACTGCAGTGAAGTTACAAGAGCGTCTTCTTCTGAAAGCCAAAGACCCCATTATTCCCCCACGTTTGGTAGCTGCCATATATTACAATCGAGCAGAGTTGTTCACAGAGCTCAAAGAACCTATCAAAGCACTCATAGAGCTGAGGAAATTGGATGCACTATCTGAGGGGATGAACAATGAAGAAGGAATATTCTCAGAATTCATATCTTCTAAAATTTGTTTGGCGTATCAAACGATTGGAGATGTGGCTCGTGCAGAGAAAATAGCGGAGCGCTTGGCTTTCCCTTCTCTTTCCCCTCAATCGCTATCACCACCACTATCGCCTTCCTCACAATCGTTTTCGGCAGCATCAGGGTCAGGGTTAGGGCCATCATCATCATCATCATCATTATCATCATCATCTTCTTCAGCAGTTTCATCATCGTCATCGTCATCGTCATCGTCATCGTCATCGTCATCGTCATCTTCGTCATCGACATCGTCATCTTCATCGTCTGCTTCGTCACTGATGTCTTCATTTCCGTTTTTATTTCCCGATTTTGGAGGTGTCCTCGAATGTAGTGGAAAATTCCACTGGGACTTCTTGTTCGCAACAATATTGAATTTAGTTGATTATCACTTGAACGAAAAAAACGTAGACTTTGCATCTTTCCTTGACGTTTTTGTACCAAGTTGCCAAGAGACGCTTGGGAAAAATCACCCAACACAGGCATCGTTTCTCTATAGGCAAGGTGTTAGATTCTTTCTAATGAAAAAAAACTTGTCATCAAAACATTTCTTTGAAGAAGCATTGAGTATTTTAACAAGTTTTGACTACGCTTCAGATCACCCGGATTTAGTGCAATGTAACATCGCTCTTGCCAAGCTTTTATTGTGCGAGGACTTCCAAGAGGTTCCTCAGTTGAAGTCGCGCCCTGACCGAAGCTGGCGAGAATTTCCTTGCAACGCGGCAGATGGAGTTGTGAGCCCTAATATTCAATCATTTGGAGAAGACAACAACAAGTGGGACAGCAACGAAGAATTTAACGAACCAGGTAAAATTTCTAGTCAAGAAAACCGTGAAGGCGAGCATCACTACCGCCTTAAAAATCCATCCCAAAGGGATAAAAACGGGAGAATCAGCATCTCACAGGAGATACTGGAAACACCAAATGAGGTCAGAGATGGACGGAACGATGTCCTCAAAGCTTCTTTTCAGGGAGAAGATGTGGTTGCAGACAGCGGTGAAAACTGCGATGTATTTCCTACAAATGGGGCTTGCGGCTTTGACAAGGATTGGAATACCCAAGCTGTTGCCCTTCCAAAAACACTAGGAGATTCCCATGAGAGTAATTCGAAAGAAAAAAGATCTCTTGGTTTGAAAGGTGGACGCCGAAGCGATCTTCCGTCAGGCCACAGTTCACAAAGAGATTCAACTGAGGATGACTTTGGAGCAAATCAAATCGGATTAGATCCCATTTTTCTCGCACGTCATTCTTGTGGGTGCAATACATCTGATGAGCGCTGGGATTCTTGTGGCCCATGTGAAGATTTAGAATTGCCTGCAGGTACACACTCCGAGTACAACAGATCTGGATGTATGCCTGAAGTGTACCACGCTACTCCCCTAAGTTCATCGATACTTCCCGAATGTCGTGATTCTACAAAATTTTATGCAGGAGATTATTCTGCCTACGCCAGTACCATGGGATCTCCTCCACAAATATACTCAAGTCGTGATGGTTATCAGCCGCAAAAGTCATCCCTAAACGTAGTTCTGATGCCCAAAACTATTCCAGCGAAGACCATAGGACTGCCTCAATCTTCAAGTTTCGTCGAAGATGGATCTAAAGCAAATCTCACGTTGACAGTCAGAGAGTTTCCCACTAGTAATGCACGGGCAAGAACTCCGCCAAATATCTTCACAAATGGACATGTACTCGCCGAAAGGCCGATGTTGTCATCGCAGTTTGAAAGAGGAGATGACGCTACGGGATTTCTTCTGGACGGGGAAAGTGAAGAAGCTGGTCAGGGTCTGTTGAACAGTAATTCAAACACATTTGCTGACGAGTCGTTGGCCGTCCTCGAGCAACGTGTGGCTGAAGCTTGCTGTCTTGTCGAGAAAACGTTGAAAGAAAGACAAGAAAGAGAGAAATCGATGAAAGAAACGGAGCGAAAAAGAAAAGAAAAGCGGGCAAGGAAAGAACAACTTGCACGTGAAAAAAAAGAAAGGGAAGCGAGGGAAGCGAGAGAAACAGAACTCATGAATGAAAGAGTAGAGGGGAACTCCACGAGCAGTGGACAAGAAACACCTTCGCAAGACTCGGCTCCTGCTGAGGTTCGACAATGGCTCTGTGAACATTATCAGCGGCTCTGCCGTGTCAAGTTCTCGTGCTGCGGAAAGTTCTTTCCTTGTCATCGTTGTCATAACAACTCTGGGTGCCCAAATGATAATTCCAAAGCAAGAGAGGCGTGCTCTGTTGAGTGCTCTGTTTGTAGCCATCAACAAGAGGTAAATAGGAATGACATTGACTTGAAATTTTATATAAGATGAAAGAGGGTTCTTACTCTTAGGTTATAACCGATTTAACTTCGAATGTTTGATTTTTAAGATCAACCAGGACGCCCACACCTGTGTCAGATGCAAAACAAGGCTCTCAGCATATTTCTGCTCGGTTTGTAAACACTTCACAGGGGAGGATAAAGCTCCTTATCACTGCGAAAAATGTGGTATCTGCCGGTAGGTGAAACAATATTCATGACGAATGTTTTTTTCGTTTGTTTGGATATTATGCTTGTTGTCCAAAAGAATAAGGGTCAGGGAGTTATTGGCCTGCTTCAGTACCAAGTCAAGGAGTTATGACTAGTGTTACAGTATGAATGAAGAATCCGGACGCTGCCTTCAGAGCGAGAACAAAATATTACAGAGAATTGCTTCATCGATGAGTGGTTAAAACACCTCATTGAATCCCACAAAACATTAGTTTTGGTTTCCTCATAAGTATCAAGCTTCCTCTTCAATAATTATTGCAGCTTATCAAGTAGAAATACAGCGCTTTTAAGTATGAATTAGAAATTTGTTTCCCCAACGAATCATATTGTGCTCAAGTAAATACGTGCGAAGTGATGCTCCTATTTCCCGTTCAGTATCTACAAGGACTGCTCCTTCCACTGTGATGTGTGTAACGTCTGTCTGGACAAACGGCTGGAAGGAAAACATTCTTGCCGAGCAAATTCAGGACACGATGAGTGCTGCATCTGTTTAGAGGTAGTTACGTAATTACTCATTAAGGCTGAATAAGAGTAAGGAATGGGAGAAATATCTTCGAAAACTCAGTTTGGTTTTATTCACCCGTTACGCATAGTAACGTCAGGTGCTTGCATTTCTTGGGTGGAAATCTGAAGAAAGAGAAGCAGGGCAATTAGATCACAATCCAAACATTTTTTTTTATCTCGTTGATCGGTTCCTTATTTCAGGACGCTTTCAGCGGTTGTCAGATCCTGCCATGCTCACACAAGGTTCACCGAGAGTGCGCTATTGCTATGATACAGAACGGCGTGTAAGTATGCATGAAATATGGTGATATCTATTTTTGGGAATTAACTTAAATATGGAAGAACACTCCACTGCTCCGAAAATTTGTTGGTATTCAATTCTGGATTGGGTGTTGCGTGTGTGGACCTGCTCGAGCTACAATGAGTAGTTTTCAGTTGCATGTAAAATGAAAAAAATCTGATTGGTTTTTGCGATTAAAATAACTTGGGAAATGATAGGAAACTACATCAAGAATCAACAGTACGGAATTTCGGAGAAACAGACCTCCGCTCCCACCTACAGCTGGGAATAACTCTGGTTAAATCGACATATCCCGGGTAACGCCCTGATTGTCCCCTTAGCTTTTCTTAGGTCCAGAGATAATTTCAGTTTTGGTTTCGAGACGCTCTTTGCATGTTATCATGGAGCTGTCTTTAATCTAAGGCGATATTATGTTACTAATAAACTTTGCAAGACTTTTAATGTTAGGTAGGCCAGATTCTACTGTGACATTCCCACACTAGTTTTTCTCAAGTTCACGTGAAATATTTCCTTTTAATTTGCAGTCGCAGCTGCCCAATTTGTCGCCATCCTTTGTACAGTCAGACAGGAATGAGTGAATAACAAACTCGACTCCAGTGCTCAGAATTCCAAGAAAAGACAAATTGTTCCTAATTGAGATGTTCTACTAAGTGTCTTGATTGACGTTTTCATTCTTTATTGTGGGCGTGAATTTAACTCTTTATGCCTAGGAATGACTGGCTCCTAATTTGACTTTACTGTATCACTCTAGAATTAAATGGTGAATGTGAGGAAAATAAAGGCAATGATCACCAATTTAGCAAGCTCCTGATTATCAAACAAACTCTCATTGTCAGTACCAGAGGAAATATAAAGAGAACAGGGAAGATTGTTAGGGTGTAGAGGGTTAAAGATCGTAATAGTTATTTTAATCTTACTTGTACAAGGACGCAAACCTGAGGGGGGAGGGGAAATGAGGGTGGCAGGATCCCCTTAGGTTGAAGTGATTCCTTTTCAGTGACTTTTATATCCAAATTTACTGCTTTTAGTGGAAGGCCATTCATCCCTTAAAAGATTTGTATAAAAGTGTGCAAAGCATCGGTTAGTCTGGCGAGGAGATGGAAAGCTGTGTGTATCATAATAGTAAGGCCATTGTAAAATAAAATTTTATATTTCTTCTCATTGTAAGGAAACGACAGAGTAAATTGTCCACAGGCTTGAGCAGCAAATTAGATTTCGTAGCGGGTTGTTTTTTTCGTAATCTAAAATGAAAGAATGCTTCAAAGGATTTTATAACCCCTACACTTTCAGCCAAACAAAACATTTCACATGTTTTTGTTGTTAAATTCTTGGTAGTGTTTGATGGTTATTAGATTTCTATGTGAAATAAAGCCCCTCTACAACCTTTTTTCATCTATAGTTACACCAGAATAGGAAGAAATTGTAAGGGTTTCAAATTTCATCTTCTTTGCCTTCGGGAGACGTGTGATAAAGAGCAAGGGAAGAAAAAATCTAGCTTGCTCCTGAAATTTTGGTAGACATCTATTAAGTTAGTAACGAGTATTACTGGTACATTTCTAGTGACTAAATTTACTTACTAAGCTTATTTTATAATGAAGTGGTAACCTTCATAAATAAAAGGTATTTAGTTTTCTTAGGCTTTGCACTTTTTATAGTTATGTAAGTAGTTTGCTATTTGATACTGAGGTAACCTTGGGATTTGAAACTTCAGGTAGATTTGCAAATTGTAGTTACGCGATCATTATATCATTCCAGCAAATAAAGCAGACAATGTGTAGATGTAAGTTGTATTAAACATTTTCTTTACCCTACCTCAGCAAGTTTGTTGTAAATTGTTTTTGTTACAAGACAACAGCGCCTCTTCATTCTCTTTCTCTTCTCCGTTTTTAAAATCTTAAGTAATCTAATAGACAAGCAACTACACAATTAATTTGGCAAATTTATCAATTTGCTCAATTTTGCTCAATTATTCTGGTACATTTCTTCACTGATCTAGCCCTATCTACTACCATAGGCTCACATCAAACCATCTTGGATATCGCTGGCTTAAGGAAAGATATACTGTGCCTATTGTTTTCAGCAATTCAGCTCGTGAAATAGTGCCAGACTCCCAAGAACCTCTTACACATTTTTAAAAGACTCACTGCTAGTTCAGAACTCCATGTCATGGCACTAAAGACTTAGACTTGCATACCCTGGCTACAGACTAAACTCGGACCTAGACACTATATTCCCATGGCGCACAAGGAGAGTGTGGGTTGTGGCGGGAAGAGAATAAGTCAAATATGTTATGGTCATATTTGGGTAATTTATCATCATTTCCACAACTCTCCGCGCCCTCCTCTTACTTTGTGGCCATAGTATTTACATCAGAATACGAAACCCCACGGACTTCAAATTATTACGCCACTTTCACCATATTTTTGAAAATTAAACATAAACCGCATAAATTATGGATGGCGTTCAACGACTATGTCTTCAGCGACGGCTTGCTTTATGTCTGAAACGATTCTACACGCATTCATAACTCACTACCTTGGTTAAGATAGTGATGCTAGTCAACTAAGGTTTCCCAAAATCGATTCATGAATCATAAAAGGAAATAACATTGTACTAGTTACCATAATCCTGACGATGTGAGCTACTATACATTACGTCACCTCCTCTAAATTTCTGAGAAGTGCAGTGGCTTTGAAGATGATAAATTGTGTATTGATGATTATGAAGAAGCTCCCATGCACGGAATCTAAGTGTAGAAATCGTGAAGATTAAGGTATCTATCGCAAAATTATTTCCTATATGTTTCAGGAATTCATTTTGGAAAATCTTACTTGACTAAAATCACTTTATTAGTCAAGATAATCTGTTACCTATACGGATGTCTTTGAGTAAATTTCATAATTTGGGTAGGCTGTGCTAAGCTGAGAGCTTGATACAGAACGGGTGGTATAATGTAATTGACTCCGAGTGAAAGTCGCATGTACATGATGGAATGATTATTCTTCGAACTCTGGAACTTTCATATCCACGAGAACCTGCATATCTACCGTACGTGCAGTAGCACGACCGTATTTAAATAAGGTATGTTATCTGTAGTCTTAAGAAGTCGAACTCATTAAATTAGGTACTGATGTCTTTGAGTAAATTTCATAATTTGGGTAGGCTGTGCTAGGCTGAGAGCTTGATACAGAACGGGTACTATAATGTAGTTGACTCCGATCCATTTCCTTTGTCCTCCAGCGAGAAATACTTGCTAATAAAATGTTTCACTTGAGCAACCCAGCGTGATCTATACATAGCTGTGAGTATTCGTTATGGAAGGTTAGGCAATGGAGTTATGCATACAAATTACGTATGTGTATTAAGTATAAGAGATTTAATTGCCTGTTGAGTACAGTTTTTGCCATCATAAGAATTAGGAAAGCCTTTTATACTGTGGTACTGATCATAGTGCCATGGTAAGTGAAGAAATAATGGTAAGACTATTTTTGAACTTTCATTTAAGCTCTGAGACTCTTTTTTTTCTTTAGTAATATTGTATTGCCCATGATCTGGTGAACAGCCTTTACGAAACAAAATCCAGCATATATATAATACAGTCGAACTTAGAAGTCGAACTCATTAAATTAGGTACCGATGTCTTTGAGTAGATTTCATAAGTTGGGTAGGCTTTGCTAAGCTGAGAGCTTGATACAGAACGAATAGTATAACATAGTTGACTCCGATCCATTTCCTTTTTCTTTTAGCGAGAAATACTCGCTAATCTAATATGTTACTTGAGTAACGCAGCGTGATCTATACATAGCTGTGGGTGTTCGTTACGGAAGGTTAGACAATGCAGTTATGCATACAAATTATGTATGTGTATTAAGTATAAGAGATTTAATTGCCTGTTGAGTACAGTTTTTGCCATTATAAGAATTAGGAAAGCCTTTTATACTGTGGTACTGATCATTGTGTCATGGTAAGTGAAGAAATAATGGTAAGACTATTTTTGAACTTTCATATAAGCTCTGAGACTCTTATTTTTCTTTAGTAATATTGTATTGCCCATGATCTGGTGAACAGCCTTTACGAAACAACAGTAGGCATATATATAATACAGTCGAACTTAGACGTCAAACTCATTAAATTAGGTACTGATGTCTTTGAGTAAATTTCATAAGTTGGGTAGGCTGTGCTACGCTGAGAGCTTGATACAGAACGGGTAGTATAACATAGTTGACTCCGATCCATTTCCTTTTCCTTTTAGCGAGAAATATTTGCTAATCTAATATGTCACTTGAGCAACGCAGCGTGATCTATACATAGCTGTGGGTGTTCGTTACGGAAGGTTAGACAATGCAGTTATGCATACAAATTATGTATGTGTATTAAGTATAAGAGATTTAATTGCTGTTGAGTACAGTTTGTGTCATCATAAGAATTAGGAAACCCTCCTATACTATTGTACTAATCATTGTGTCATGGTAAGTGAAGAAATAATGGTAAGACTATTTTTGAACTCTCATTTAAGCTCTGAATTTTTTATTTCTTTAGTAATATTGTATTGCCCATGATCTGGTGAACGGCCTTTACGAAACAACAGTAAGCATATATATAATAAAGTAATAGCCCTCTTAGTTAGTGTTTAGTCTTAGAACAAGAAGCCTAGGGTTAGGTTTAGGGTTAGCTTCGTGCTTCCGAGAGTGAAAGTCACACGTACATGATGCAATGATTATTCTTCGAACTTCCCGTATATCTACCGTTCGTGCAGTAGCACGACCGTATTTAAATAAGGTATGTTATCTGTAGCCTTAAGAAGTCAAACTCATTTACTTAGGTACTGATGTCCTTGAGTATATTTTATAATTTGGGTAGGCTGTGCTAAGCTGAGAGCTTGATTCAGAACGGGTAGTGTAATATAGTTGACTCCGATCCATTTCCTTTGTCCTTCAGCGAGAAATACTTGCTAATCAAATGTTTCACTTGGGCAACGCAACGTGAT